CACTGCCCGCTTCTATCTCCTTCCCAAAATCCACAAACCTGAATGCCCTGGTCGACCCATTGTCTCCGCCTGCTCCTGCCCCACCGAACTGCTCTCCAACTATCTGGACTCCATTTTCTCTCCCTTGGTCCAGGAACTCCCTACCTATGTCCATGACACCACCCACGCCCTCCACCTCCTCCAGAACTTCCAATTCCCTGGTCCCCAACACCTCATCTTTACCATGGACGTCCAGTCCCTCTACACCTGCATTCCCCATGCAGATGGCCTAAAGGCCCTCCGCTTCTTCCTGTCCCACAGGCCCGACCAGTCCCCCTCCACTGACACCCTCATCCGCTTAGCCGAACTCGTCCTCACACTCAACAACTTTTCTTTCAATTCCTCCCACTTCCTACAGACAAAGGGGGTGGCCATTGATACCCGCATGGGCCCAAGCTATGCCTGCCTCTTTGTAGGTTATGTGGAACAATCCCTCTTCCGTACCTACACCGGCCCTAAACCCCACCTCTTCCTCCGTTACATTGATGACGGTATCGGCACCGCCTCGTGCTCCCACGAGGAGCTCGAACAGTTCATCCATTTCACTAACACCATCCACCCCAACCTTAAGTTTACCTGGACCATCTCTAACACCTCTCTCCCCTTCCTGGACCTCTCTGTCTCCATATCGGGCAACCACCTAGAAACCGATATTCATTTCAAGCCCACCGACTCCCACAGCTACCTAGAATACTCCTCCTCCCACCCACCTTCCGGCAAAAATGCTATCCCCTATTCCCAATTCCTTTGCCTCCGCCGCATCTGCTCCCAGGATGAGGCATTGCACTCCCGTACATCTCAGTTGTCCTCGTTTTTCAAGGACCGTAACTTCCCCCCCTCAGTGGTCGAGAACGCCCTCAACCGTGTCTCCCACATCTCCCGCAACTCATCCCTCACACCCCGTCCACGCAATAAGAACCAAAAAAGAATCCCCCTCGTCCTCACGTACCACCCCACCAACCTCCGGATCCAACGCATCATCCTCCGCCACTTCCGCCATCTGCAATCCGACCCCACCACCAAAGACATCTTTCCCTCCCCACCCTTATCTGCTTTCCGGAGGGACCACTCTCTCCGTGACTCCCTTGTCCGCTCCACACTCCCCTCCAGCTCCACCTCACCCGGCACTTTTCCCTGTAACCGCAGGAAGTGCTACACCTGCCCCCATACCTTATCATATGGCTTGCCATTTTCAGTCAAGTACTCTTTTAATCCTGTGACTTGTATCAATAATTACAAGTCAACTTTTCTGTTAAATAAGTTTAAAAAACTAAGGTAAGTACAGATTCATGTTCTTTTAGGTTTTAATGGTTGAAAATGTTTTCAAAAAAATCATTTTTGCTGTATTTTTCTTTGAGTATTTTTAATCCAATCTGGTTTTTCCTCTCTTTATTCCCCTCTCTGTACTTTGATTCGATATTGAATTCAACACTCTAATTTACATTTCGTCCTTAGTCGTTGTGCTGTTAATTTCGCAGTCCTACAACCTCTTTAATTAAAGAGCTCCACAATGTTTTGCTTGGATCACTCAAGCTTCAGATTTCCTGTAAAGGGAGTGCACCATTTCCCTGTCCCACTTCCAATAACTGTGGCACCAAATGTCATCAAGATCAGAGAGACAACGGCAAGTCTAACTAAGTGTGTGCTGTTCATTGGCCTGGTGCAGTAAAGTTTGGGCAATTGCATGGCTAATGGGTAGTCCTGATTAATGATCCAAGAATCAGTGTTGAGTGAGATTGTGATTCTTCGGGATAATAATGTGAATTGTGAACCCTGGGTCTTTGGAAATCGCCCTGAAGGTGATCTTGAAGTGATTGGTTTTTCTCTGTATTAACTCGGCAGCAACTTCCTGGTAAAGTAACCTGAATGTCACTTAATCTGGATGGTAAGGCAAGGAAGTATTTCGTGCAAAATTGTTTCTGGGTAAAACACATTTTCAATCAAAACAAAACAGCAGTTGACAAGAAAAGATTGTTTCAAACATCCTTGTATTTGGAATACTGACCTGCACTTGATAATGAATAATTCAATCCAGCTCCAAGCATAAAAAGCACTTAGTAATCCTGATTTGGTACTGAATGCTATCTGCTGACAGATTTCAGTAAATAAAGATGTTTCATTTCTGTCTGTTGGATTGCATTTCTTCTGTGTTAAGTGTATGCAAACACAACATGTCAAGTTGGAAATTAATTTCCCTTTGTTCGTAAAGGAGTTACAAACTACATTGCAATGCAAAATTGGGTGTTACATTGTATCATGTCTACATTGTCTAAAGCAAGATCCAACAGATCTCCAATAAGTGACCTTCTAGTCTATTTTCAGTGATGCTAAGGGAGGCACTTTGGCCAGTAATTCCTATTCCTCTTCAAATCGTATATTAGACCTTTCATATTCATTTGACTAATGCTCCAGTTTCATGTCTGATCGAAACCATTGTACTTCCAACAATGTAGTAGAGATTTTTCATTTGAGATTTTGCATTCAAGTTCTGGCATTGGATTTAAACCCACAACTTTCTCAACCCAAGGCAAAGAGTGGGCTAAACTAACCACTAGGACGTGAATACCATTCCTTTAATCTTAGTGGCGATAACATCGATGACATGATAAGTTGCGGGAAATAGGAAATTTTGGGAATACACTACAAAAATTGCAGATGCATTCCCAGTGGGTCCCAGTTCATAATTGAGAAAAGTCTGTTTGCTTTCTTGTTTCAATATTGTTGGAACAAGTATGTTTTGAAACTGATAGTATTCCTGTTTGCCTAAGTATGGAGAGATTCAGAATGTAAGAATAAAATAAATAACAACAATGCAGAGAAAAATGCTGGTGATTCCATTGGCAGTCATCGTATTGAAGATTTTCCTAGTTATCTGCTGGAGCAAGCCATGTGCTAATAAACATTTGACTTCTACAGCTGTGTGACACAGTATCTAGACAGGGGAAAAGGCTATATTGAGCAAATAAATTCATTTACCCTACAAAACATACTGTCGAAGTCAAATGGCTTGTAAGCAAGAAATGACTTTCTCTTCAGTTCCAACTAAATTATTAACTCAATAATTAAGCAAACTGCCCTGGAAGTATTTAACAATAGCATACTTGGCTGAAAAATTCCAGATCCATAAACATTACACTTGCTATGAATTTCACAATTAGAATGTTGGAACTTAGGTAAAGTTAAACAGTATGATAACAATCTTATTCAAAAGAGCATTATAATGTCATAAGATATTTGCCTTGTTCAGTACTGCTGTTTGGAAGGCACGCAAACCCAATATTTTTGATGGTTATGGTTTATGGTTTGATGATCTCTGTCTCAGGCTTGCTGCAGTGCTCCAGCAAAGCAAAGCTCAAGCTGGAAGAACATTACATTATTTTCTGCTTAGGGACCCTGCAGCCTTCTGGAAACAATATTGAGTTCAATCAGTTTAGGGCTTGAGCTCTCCCATGTCCTTACCCTAACCCCCACACACCAGGCCTTGTTGTCACATAGTCTGCTATTACACCCAACCCATTGCTGACACTAACAGTCCCCATTAATAGCTTATTCACGCTCCTACTCCTTTATCTGTCAACTGTTCTTCTGTCTCTTTGGGCTCTATTCCTACCTATTGTTTACTCCTTACGCCCCTCCTCTCCACCCTATTTTCTGTGTATATACCGACATTTTCCGAGTTACCATCAGCTCTAAGGAAGGGTCACTTAACCTGAAACTTTAACTCTGCTTCCTGTCTACAGATGCTGCCAGACCTGCTGAGCTTTTCCAGTAATTTCTGCAATTGGTTCTGATTTACTACATCCACAGTTCTTTTGGTTATTTTTGATAGTTAAACTGACGCTAAAGATGTTACAATGAAAGCAGTGCAACTAATTTTGAAGCTTGCTGCATATGAAATTCTTTGTGGGGACAACTGTTCAATTAAACTAAACCAAGACATGCCAAGTATATTGTAACTGCACAGAGAAGCCAAAAAATCAACTTCATTAATATCTGTGGCAATACACAAAACCCAAATAAGGTGAGCCAAAGTGCCTCTTTAGTATTTAGCTTCGCAACTATTTTGATTTATGCCTCTGTGAATCACTCTAGGAGAATGTTGCTAGTGGTGTATAGATGCAAGCTGCTGTTTTAACGGAGACACTTTCCATAGTTCTGGAACGTATAATAGAATGCATCTCCTGCTGGTATTCCTCATATCCAATAAACCACAACAGCTATTTCTCAAATTGATGTCTACATTTATTCAGACGTACTGTTTGTCTAATGCGTGTGATTTGAAAGTGGATTGAACATTTAAAGTTCCTTCTTAAAGTAACAAACTGTTTTGTTTTACAGGCCTTCCCAACTGGAGGCACTGCAGTGGCGTGAATCTCTGGAGAAGCTTCTGATGAACAACTGTAAGAGACTTTATTCTTAATTTGTTTTTCAACAACCTCAAAAAATTTAGTTCAATTTATGTTTCTTTCAGAACATAGATTTGTTGTTATTGTATAATAACGACATCTTGCCTTCACTTAGCACTTCCATAACGGTGAGACAACCCAACAGCAGAATTACATTCCATCACAATCTGTAACTCATGGTCTGGTATATCTTTCACTCCACCATGACCCTCAAGGCAATGACCAAACCTGGTTCATCGAGAAGGGCAGAAGACTATGTCAGAAGCAACACCAGACGTATCTAAATATAAGATGCGAACCTGGCAAAGCTACAGCTCTGGATTGCATGCGTGTTAAAGGGGTAACCACACTCTGTAGACAGAGCTAAATGATCCCGCAACAAACAGACTAGATCAAAGCTTTGCAGTGCTGTCACATCCAGTTGTGAAAGATGGCAGACAATTATACAACCCACAGGAGGAGGAGGAGGAGCCTCTGTGAATATGTCCGTCTCCAATGATTGCAGAACCCAGCCTGGTCAGTGCAAAAGACAAGGCTACCATGTTCAGCCTGAAGTGTCCATTGGATGATCCATCTTGACTTACTACTAAAGTCTCCATCAAAGCAGAATCCACTCTTCAGCTGATTTAAGTCACTCTACATGATATCCAAGAAGTGACTGTCGACACTGGGTACAGAAAGGCGATGAGCCCTGCTATTACTGGATTGCAGTGCCGATGAGCTGTGCTCCAGAACTAGGCAATCCCCTAATCAAGAGAGATGGTAGGAACTGCCGATACTGGAGTCTGAGATAACAAGCCTTGTTATCTCAGCCTCCAGCATCGGCATCCAGCTCTACACCTTGTTATCTCTAATCCCCTAATCAAGCTGTTCCAGCGCAGCTACAACAGTGGCATCTACTCAGAGTGGAAAATTGCCCAGTTATGTCCTGTTTGCAAATAGTCGGACAAATTCAATTTGAATAATTACTCTCAGTCATCAACAAACTGATGGCACAGTAATTGGCCAGTTGAATCGGAGGGCTTACTAATACTCATCAATGCACAAGTTTGAATGGTCCAAATGTGGGCACAAGAGCTGAAATCCCAAGGTGAGATGAGAGTGACTAACATCAAGGCAACATTTGACCAAGTGAGTGGTCAAGGAGCCTTAGTTAAATTCAAGTTAATGGGAACTGTGTGGAGAAACTCTCCGTTGGCAGGAGTCATACCTTACACAAAGAACAATGCTTGCCACCACTGGAGGTTTTAACCCCAGGCCACAATGATATGAGCCCATTAAGCTAGTGTCTTGGCCAAACTATCTTTAGCTGCTTCATCAATGACCTTCCTTCCATCTTAAAATCAGAAGTGCCTGTTGATAACTACATATTGTTCAGCACCACTGGCAATTTCTCATATAATGAAGCAGTTCATGTCCACATGCAATAAGACCTGGATTATTCAATCAATCAACAAAGAATCCCTACAGTGTGGAAACAGGCCCTTCAGCCCAACAAGTCTATAACCGAACCTCAGAGCATCCCAGCCAGACTTATCACCCTATAACCCACCTAATCTACACATCCCTGAACACTACAGGCAATTTACCATGTCCAGTCTACCTAGCCTGCACATCTTTGGACTGTAGGAGGAAACTGTAGCACCCAAAGGAAACCCATGCAGACATGGGGAGAATGTACAAACTCCACACAGTCACCCAAGGGTGGAATCGAACCTGGGTCCCTGGTGCTGTGAGGCTAACCACTGGGCTACCATGGCGCTGTTGAGTTTGAGTAGCTAATTGGCATGTAATATTCATGCCAAACAAGTGTCTGGCGATCTTAGTCTAACTGCCTTCCCATGACATTTGACGACTATCATCCAATGCCTCATTAACAACATTCTCACCATTGATCAAAAAATTAAGTGGATCACCCACACGGTTACTATGGCTACAAGAGCAATTCAGAGGCTGGGAATTTTGCTGAACCTAACTCAACTCCTGACCCCTCCAAAATTCTTTCTGCCATTTAAAAGGCACAAATCAGGCATATGAATCTTCTTTATTTAGAAGTACAATTTCAATAGTTGGGGATGATAATAAATTGGGGAGACACAATTCATATCTTGGAAATCATTTTCATAAGTTAATAAAGTAATAATATTCTTGTGGGATGAGAATGAAAATAACAAATGTATTTCAATATAGACAAGTGTGATGGTGCATTTTGATGGAAGATTAAGGAGATCACACTCCCTTTGTAAAATAAGTTTCCAAATGGGATGAAGGAGCAAATGGACCTTGAGGTACAGATTCACAATTCATTAAAATTATTAGCCCCCTAAAAATTCAAAGGACTCAGGTTCATGTCTATAAGCTTAGAATTGAAATGCTACAGGAAATATGTAAAGAACCTTGGTTAGATCACATGGCATACTGTACGCCATGTTTTTCTTCATGTTAGAGGCATTGCAGAAGAAGTAAAAATGATTGACATAAATTGAACCACAACTGAGGATTTACAACTATCAGGAAAGATTGAGCAGGCTAATTTCTCTAGAAAACAGAAGACTGGGAGGTGACTTGATGGAGCTCATTATAATTATTTGGCAAGTTGATAGATATAGGAAAGACGTTTCCACTTGTGAACTGTGTAAAAACAGGGAGCACAAATATAAAATTATCACTGATAAGAAATGCATTTGCTCAAAAAGTAGTTAGAATGTGGAACTTCCTACCACTGTTAACATGATAGCATATCTGGGAATATGTTTGGGAAGCTAGGCAAGTACATAATAGAGTAAGGAATAGAACGATATACTGATAGGGGTACATAAGTAAGGTGCTCTGAGGCTTGTGTAGGTTATTGCATAAACCCACTGAGCTGAACGGTCTGTTTCTATGCTGTAAATTCTATGTAATTGTACATAATTTTTAGAAAAGCTTAACAAAGTAACACTTGATATTCTTGGCAGTGAAAAAAAAAATTCACAGGATCTTTCTGCTATTTTAAGAAGTGGCTTGAGTGCAGAAGCCACTGTTACTTTTCCACTAGTTGATGACAGCCTGAAGTGCAATTAGGTCAGAAAAGGTAAGTTTTGGGAAGTGCACGCAGATCTTCCTTGAGCCAAGCTCACCCTGGCCAATTGCCAGGCCCTTCCCATATACCCTCCCCTTGGAAACAGACGGTTGGAGACCATTCCTACGGTTCTCTTCAGCAGCATCTTGTCACTGCCATTGTATTCCTATCTGCCAAGCAGGAGCTCCTTCCCATTGCTTTCAGTGAAACATAGTGGCGGGCATATTACAGAGCTCAGAGGGATATGCTATTCCTTCAGCTGCCGCAGTCAAAGCATTAAACCTCACAAAAACTGCCTGTCAGCCCAGTTTATAGAATACTTCCTCCTAATTTTACATTGGTAACATTCTGATAATCAAAAGATCACTGAAAACTGATCACTCACATGCAAAACATTGACAATTGTTGAAGTGCCATTTTGTGATGCATCTTATAAAAATTTTAGAAAACAAAGGACAATTTGTCCAAATTTCTTTATTCTACATATGCTGGTCCCTCTTGTTAACTGAAGTTGGCACTTTCTGGAATTATATTGAGATTTTAACCAGTGGTTAGGCTGTATCTGACCTGCAGAGTTGAATCCAAATGTTGTCCACTTCAGGGGATGTTGACTGGTCATCTCTTGTGTTGTTTGCCTTTTACTGACATCTGGACAGTTTTTTTTGCCTCAATGGTCCATATCAAAACAGTTACCAAACTTTCTCATATATGGTATCAAACACGTATGGCCAAGAATGTCAAGCACCGTAGCCAGATTTAATCGACAGTAGAATGAAAGAGTTTGTGATTAAATCATGAAATTTTCTCGTTTAATCTATTCCAGCTGATGGCTGTGGTGAACATGATAAACTTAGAAAGATATTTTCCACTGGTTTGTTTCCAGATGGGCAGGCTGCCTTCAAAGCTTTTCTCCAGTCAGAACATAGTGAGGAGAACATTGAGTTCTGGATGGCCTGTGAGGACTACAAAGCAACCAAATCACCCATTCAGCTGGCCTCCAAGGCAAAGAAGATCTTTGAGGATTTCATTGAAAAAGAGGCTCCAAAAGAGGTTGGTCAATGCACAGAGGAGAAGGTGCAAATGTAGCGTTGGTTAGACATGGAAATATAGCACCCTTTCTAACTGAACATAGGGAATCCATTGTTATTTTCCTTTGCACAATCATTCCTGACTTTCATTTCATCAAGAAAGTCATTTTATTGAAGAATACTATTTAATAAAATTACTACAGGAATCAGAATGTAATAGCTTTGCGCTTCAGACTTGAAATCAGAGTGCTCATGTCATTTTTCCATGCATTGCAATGATTGATCTAGTTCATTATAAAACTGTCAAAAAATAATTCAGTTAGTTTTGACATGAAAAGCAGTAGCAGAGACTAGACATTATTAAAGTACTGTCTGCATCCATAGTACTCCAAGACAAAAAAAAATATTGTAGCTGACAGAATCTAAGTTTTATTTGTCTTGGGAAACAATAGGGCCTTTCAGCAAGAGGTAATGTTATAATTATATCATAACCCCAGAGGACATCAGTCAGTGGTGATCAGATATCATGTACATCTTAACATCTAGAATGTATTGGGTCTCTACATTGATGGAGTTATGGAATACAGTGGCTATGTAAGGAAGACAACAAGGACTGCAGATGCTGGAAGCCAGAGTCTATAGGTGTGAGGCTGAAAAAGGACAGCATGTCAAACAGCATCAGGGGAGCAGGAAAGTCAATGTTTTGGGCCAAAACCTTTCATCAAATCCTGACAAAGGGTTTCAGCCTGAAACATTGACTTTCCTGGTCCCTGATGCTATCTAATCTGCTGTGCTTTTCCATTCTCACACCTATAGGCTATGTAAGGGAGATTTGCTGTCATATTGTAAGTTTACAAGGTCAATTATTATGAAGATCTCTATTGTGAGTTCTGCTTACAAAATAATTCCCTACTTACTTTTTCATAATATTATTAATTCATACTATATAGTATAACTAGACCAAATATAATCCTTATTCTCGTTCAGAATAGCATTTTCAAACATCCATAAGCTTTCTTATCATGAAAGAAATAATCCTCATGATAATGGTGGTGTGTATGAAATACTTTCCTTTTCTAGGCTTCTTGGTAGAACTATGTCTTCAGAAATATCCTGAATGTAACAATCACATGAAACATTCAATATTTAACAGTATTGAATTTCCAAATGTACTTGATTTTAAAGTAAGTGTTTATGAAGTAATGGTGCTGAATGTTAAATTTACATTATGCAGGTAAAAATTAGGAGCAGGAGTAGATCATTCAACTCCTTGAGTCTGCTCCACAATTCTCAAAAGTCGTGGCTGACCATTAACTCTGACCAATCTGATTATGTTACATACAATCTTTGGGTGAAGACAGGAATTCTTTTTTCGCCTTTTCAGGGAGTAGATGTATTCTGAACAGCTCCTGAAAGTCCTTAGTGAATAATTGTGCCTGACTAGTAATGTAAACTGTACTTATTGATATTATTTAGCAAACCATCTGTTAATTAGCCAAGTACCTTTTTCTATTTAGCCTCACTCACTCGTGGTCTGTGCTCTACCACTGATTTTTAGACAGCTCCTAGAGACTGTATGGATGAAGGAGGAATGGTGGGAGTAAACTTTCACAAATAATTTTTATAGCGTGTACCATATACTGGCAGAGATGACAGATATCATCAGGTGCCAGCAGTGTCAAACAAAATAATACCACAACAAGAAAATCTAACTTTAACCCAAAGTTTCTCAATGGGTACTGCTGTTCCAAAAATGCTTCACAATGCAGCAAGTGCACATCTTGAGTTTTTGCTTTCTGCAGGTCAATGTTGATCACTACACCAAGGAGATCACCATGAAGAGCCTTGTTGAACCTTCACCTTCAACCTTTGAACTGGCTCAGAAGAGAGTGCTGAATTTGATGGAGAAGGATTCATTCAGCAGGTTTCTGAAATCTGAACTCTATCTGGAGCTGATAAAGTAACAATGTAGCTGGGCTGTGCAAAGGGAGGGTGAAATAAGACCATTAATATCTCCACATAGTCGCTAACTGAATATTCTCTCATTGCTGTTAGCTAAAAAAAAATTATTCCAAGTGTTACTTCTTTAAACCTTTGGGCACCATGCTGACATCATTTAAATCTAACACTTGTCTTTGCATAGCCCGGAAATAAACAGGCACCATTTATGGAAAAGTGTACCTTTAATGTGTGCTTGTCTTTTATGTGTGCTTATTTTTTTCCTTATTTTTCCAAAGATTATATCCAATGATGAGTAACCATGTGGCTTCAAATAAATTTTTGGGCAATTCAAATCATTCCTTTAGAATTGCTGGCACCATCAGGACACAAACTGGGGGAGATAAAAATCTTTCGATAAAAGGCAGAAAGTAAAAAATTCCTAGTCCTTCCACTGAGCGAACACCATTCATCATTCCTATATCTCTGTACAGTTCAGAGAACAAATGTTAAGAAAGGTTTTTAATTGGTGTTATCAAAGTTTGTATATTTACTAGTGAAGCCCACTACAAATATATCACACATCACTAAGGATACACTTTTAATCTACAGTAAATATTCTGAGAGTTTACTTTAACCTACAGAAGCAGCGCCAATGTGCAGAGTATACAATGCACATACCAGCAGATGCAGCCTATACATTTACATAGCTTTACATAGATACAAGTCTTTATAAACCATTTATTCTGGCAGTTTATATTGCTCATACAGATCAACATCTTTACTGTGGTGAGGTGTGGCTATTCCATCTAATTTGTAGACTGCATTGTACACTATGAAGACTGGCACAAGTTCATACAATCATTCATCTGGTCACACCAAAGCATTTAGGTATAAGAAACAAATCTCCCTTTTTCACTTGAAGTAATTTTCAATAACCAGCACATTGTTCAATCAGGATATGCACATTAATTCCTCAATGATCCATGATATTTCAGTGGCAACACAACATTGTATCACAGATACTTCACTGGCAGAGGCAGGCTGAGCATAGTACTTCACTATATTGGATATTTAACCATATCAAATCAGATAGATTTAGTTCAAACAGAAGTGAAAGTAAAGAAGATGAACCTTGAGACAAATTTTGGACAATACATCCAAATGGTGACTATTATAGTCAATTAACTCAATATAGTCACAAGCCCTTAATAAACAACCTACATTCAAATTAGGTAACTTAATAAACCAGAAAGTGCCTGAATTCATGGTTTTTCCACTGCCGTAAAAATCCAAACAGTTCACACTGAGATATATTCAACTATAATCTTGACTAACAGGTCCAAGTTAAACATATGCAATAGGTCCATAACGTGTTGTGCCAAACTTTCCAAATATGATTTAAAGTTATACAAGAGTATTATTTCGTCATGTACTGGTGTAAGCAGACAATAAACGTGAAATAGAATAGCCTCAACATCATCACTGAGAGATTTGTGGCACTTATTCTTTTCTCACACTTTTCTACCTGGAAGTATTGGTATTTCTCCTTTTATGACGGGATCTGCTATCGATGCTAAGATTAAACCAACTCTGTCTTGGAATGGTCGGAATGTGTTGGATGACTTGAAGAAAAGCAAAAGAGGATGGAGGTGAAACAGCCGTAGAAAGTAGTCCTTAACAACTTGACGTGTATTGTATTTTGCCTGGAAAAAGTGGAGCGTTTTAAGGAAGGAAATGTCTGAAGGAAGTCAAACAATCTGATATAAATGCTGCTTAGCCCACATGGCAGCACTTATCAGGAACTGTCTGAATGAACAATTTCAATTTGTGCTTCAATCATTTGTCTAAGTCAATTGAATTTAAGATGGATTGTGCTCCCGTGATAAGGAGTATTATGGTTAGATTAGCCTTAATATAGAACTATACAATTTCTTAACAATGACTTATGTTTTCTTTGCAAGTTAACAAAGGCTTAAACACTGTACTAATGAGGTTCTATACTGTCTTCATGTAATCCTGATAATGAAAACATATCGTATAGTGTCACAGAAAAGATAAACCATAGACACATGCTTAAAACATAAATGAAAATCCTAGAAAAATTGTTTGCTCAAACAATTGAAATGGAATGATTTGTCTGAATTGTATTCCTTTGCCCATCTGATAAACTATGTCAACAAAATGAGTCAAAACATTTGAAGTAAATGCTTAAGAACTGGTTCCTGTACTGCCAATTGTATAGCCAGTGCATGCTCATTATTAAATATATTCCATGTAATGCATGAGTGTTAATATTTGAGAGCGCATAGTCTTATCTTGAAGGACAATTTCATACCAAGAGTCTCAGTAAATGCTTCATGGCTTCTATTGTTATGGTAAGAAATCAGTGAGAAACCTAGGTGAGGGCTAAAGCCCATAGTGCAGGACACTACCAAGGTTGAACAGAGTGGATCTGATAAAGAAACAGAGACTGAGTGATGCCAAGTTAAGGGTTTGCCATTAATACAAAATACCATCATTCCTGCCTGAGGTAAACAATTCCATTTCTGATTAAACTGTATTAATAACACCCTCGCTTGGTCAAAAGATCATGCCAAGCTTTTAGTAATGTAATGGCCAGCCACTTTTATTCCCTCCATTTTTCATGCCATGGTGAAATAAGAATAAATTGACTCAATATGGATGCTACACTGTCACAACCACTAATTATTCAGATCGATTATTGAGCTTGACACTTAATGGTGAGGATCCATTTATGCTGGGCTGGATCAAGCAGAATTAAAACCAGAAAGTTATGCCTTTCAAAATTAGTGCTTTACATTTTAACAATTTCTGAAGCCAAAACCGTAAAACATTCATATTTGGGAGTTGTGGTACCAAATGGTAAAATCAGGTTGTTACAAAAGTGCCATTTTAATTTAACATCTAAATGAAGCAGATACTGAAATTCAAAGTGTTATTCATTATTGAAAGTGAGCGTTTTTATTATTATTCTGCTTAGTGCGTAATATATATTCTTTCCAATGGTTTGAACTCTTCATGATCTGACAGTTGCTATCGATTATATAATGCCAAGACCGGTTGCTCAAGGGAAGGAGGTTCGAGTATTGTCCAAATGTGATTAACACCAAACTGGTATTACCATCGACGATTCACCTCCTGATAATAGCTTTCTTCCCAAAAAAATGGAGGAATCTTTAATCTGAGTAACCAACCGAACTAAAATAACATCAAAATCTTCATTTATGGACAGCCAATTTTTTTACTCATAAAATGCTGAAAAACGCAGCCCTCTATTGTATATGTATGAATAAAGGCATTATATCATCTTAGCAATGACTATAACTATTAAATGGTGATTATATACCCAGCAACTGCAATAATACAAACAATGCTTTATTCCAATCTTAATCAACTCAGAAACAAGCATTCAACCACCAACTATCAACACTGTCATGTTGATTTTATAAAGTGTGCCGTTGGGAGTGAAACATTTGAAGTAATATAGGTGTTGCATTTTTCCCTCTTTTGTTATCACAACATTAATGTACTAGTAAAGCTAAAAAATGACTGCAGTGGCCTTTTCGTGCATACTGTCTTATCTTGGAAGAGTTAGGAACCGAATGAAGTAAACATGTACCACTATACCAAAGTTCGCCTATTTCTTTTCTACATAACTTGATGGACTTTCTTATAAACAGCTCCAGATGGGTTCAAACAGTCACTAAATGAATGCATATTCTCATAAATCTGTGGTGAAAATCACAATGTGCGGTTTTCTCATTCAATCACAATGTAAATATTTACAACATTCACAAAAGAACCTCATGGAGAGGCTATAGTTAGAGTGAAAAGTGGACAATGGTGGATTGCAAAGGGAGAGAATTCAGCCATGTTTCCCACTGATGATCACAATCCATTGTCCTGCACTGGAAGGTTTATAAGTGGCTGGGCACAGGACATTGTGTTGGTCACAGTGAGTGGAGAGTTAACTAAGAAGCAAGCTTACTTGAGTAAGACAGTGGATGGCCATCAGTTCCCCAACAAAAAATTGGCACACTTTAAAATTGAGGAAGGAGGAAAAATGAAGAGTGGTCATGAGTTTCTTGAGGGAACTAAAAATCATGGGCTCAGTTTTGTCTTAGTGCCACTTATTCGTAGATGAGTTTGAAATTATGCCGCTGAATCCAGCAAAGAGATCGATCTATTTTAACCCCCTTCACATAAGTCTTACTGGCCGCTGAGTTCTGAGGAAGGGTCACCGGACCCGAAACGTTAACCCTGTTTTTTCCTTCACAGATGCTGCCAGACCTGCTGAGCTTTTCCAGCAACTTTGTTTTTGTTCCGTGTTTTCTTACTGGCTGCCTTCACAACTGTTCAGGTGACAAGCAGTTGAGTACTTTATGGAGCCCTCAAAGCACCCATCAATTGCTGCAGATTTAAACATGTCAATCTGAACACATCTCACAATTATGAAAGAGGAGGAATATATTTAAGGCAGGGGGTCCCTAAATGTAGCTTGGACCAGGTTTCACAAAGAACAAAAAAACGAGTTAGCTTTGTTAAAACTTTCTTTGAGGCCTATATTGCTACCACCTTTATCTACTAGGGCAGGCTTAGTGTTTTTCTGGGTGGACCATCGAGTCAAAACTGTATTTAGCTCCGAATGGTGTCACCAGAAATCCAGCATCCATGTGGAAAAATAGGCCACTGGGAAGTTAGGTTTCAGTCTCTGCCATCTGCTTTGTAGCTGTGATCAAAATTAGCAACCTGGTAATCTCCTGAACAAAGTAAATAAACCTGAGGAATTTTAGCTGCAGCCCTATCTGCTTTAGGCAGAGGGTAGGGGGTAAGGTTAGATTTCCCCACTCCCTTCATCACATAAATATCACTTTATAATATTTTCTACATACTTCAAATAATACGGTATGTTTATAAACAACATACTGATGGTGCATTGAGAAATAACCTATTCAGCATTATGTGATGTTGTCAGTTCTGTCAGTGTCTTCAACACACAAGTTACCAATCGCACTCACTCACTGAGGAGTTATCGCTGAAAGATTAAAGTTGGCAATTTGACTCCACTGCCTCCATTAGACCTGGCATGCCCAAATGTTAAACGTGTTTAGAAACAACCATTATTTTTAGAAATAAAGCTTAAGTAATGGTGTAATCTCTGAAGACAAGATTCACTTTCTTTATGTTTGAATGGAAAATAAAGAATTAAAGTCACAAAACAGGAAATATGTTTCTTCCAATGTCAAGTGTAACATGTAAAGCTTTCTTTTCTAGACCTGTTCAGACCCACAATCATCTGTTTCCAGGCATTTCACCCCTTGGGACAAAGAACAAACACAGAAATTGAATCCATCATGGATCGGTGGAATTCAGTAAAGAATTAGAGGAACATTGCAAAATGAAAATTACTTATGTAACTGTTTGAAATTTTGCTTTTTGTTTGCAAGCCATTGCATAGAAATCTACCTCAATTGGTCTAAAACTGGGCAATACTTGGAGACTGAAGGACAAGAACAAGGGGGAAAGCAGCCAATGATTTTGTGTTTAAGAACCTGTTCATTCAAACATGCCTTAAAGCTTTTATAGAATAATTTCAGGCCATTCGTTGAGTCAGTGTTGACTTTCTATAAGAACAATTCAGCAAGCAAGTCCTGTTCCCTGCACTTTCCCAGTAAACCTACAACTTTTTTCTGCTTCAGAAAATGATTAAGAGTTTCTTTGCAAGCAAGGTTTGAAAGTCTCCGTCACATTCTAGAGCAGTGCATTACAGATCCCAACCACTTTACTGGATAAAAAGTTGTTTTCTGCCAGTTTCTTTTCAAAGTCTTTCACTATTCTCCTCACCGTTTTCCAAGTTTAGTGTTACCTGCAAATTTTGAAACTGTGCCCGATGTGCCCAAGTCTAGGTCAATAACATAGATTCAGGAAAACAATGGCTGTAGCACCAATCCCTGGAAAATCCCACTACTTAGCTTCTTCCAGTTCAAAAAAAAAGCCTTCCATTGCTTCCTGTTTCCTGTTTTTCAGTCGACGTCATTTCAATATTGCCACTGTTCATGTTATTCCATGAGCTTTAGCTTCACTGACACACTTATTATGTGGCACTTTGTCAACTGCCTTTTGAAAGTCCATGGACACTGCATCATCCACATGATCTTCATCAACTTTCTCTATTACCTCATCAAAAAAACTCAAATCCTAAGTATATTGTTGGAAAACACATCTCCACCTAGAAGAAGAAGAGAAAAATTCAAGAAAGCCATCACTGGAGGGGTCCTGTGCACTCCTAGTAACCAATCAAGCATGGACTAGATACCCAGCAACATTCCACAGCTACGCTTGGCTCGTAGTTTGCAGATGACACCAAAATTGGTGGTGTAGTGGACAGCGAAGAAGGTTCCCTCAGAGTACGACAAGGCCTTGATCAGATGAGCCAATGGTTCAAAGAGTGTCAAATGGAGTTTAATTTAGATAAATGTGAGGTGCTACATTTTGGTAAGGCAAATCTGAGCAGGACTCATACACTCAATGGTAAAGTCCTGGGGAGTATTACCGAACAAAGAGAACTAGAGGTTCAGGTTCATATTTCCTTGAAAGTGGAGTCACAGGTAGACAAAGCAGTGAAGAAAGTATTTAGTACGCTTGCCTTTATTAGTCAGTTCATTGAGTATAGGAGTTGGGAGGTCATGTTGCAGTTGAACAGGACATTGGTAAGGCCACTTTTGGAGTAGTGCATTCAATTCTGGTCTCCCTGCTATAGGAAAGATGTTGTGAAACTTGAAAGGGTTCAGAAAAGATTTACAAGGATGTTGCCAGGGTTGGAGGGTTTGAGCTGTAGGGAGACGCTGAACAGGCTGGGGCTATTTTCCCTGGAGCGTCTGAAGCTGAGGAGTGGCGTTATAGAAGTTTATAAAATCATGAGGGACATGGATAGGGTGAATAGCCAAGATCTTTTCCCCGGGGTAGGGGAATCCAAAACTAGAGGGCAGAGGTTTATGGTGAGAGGGTAAGATTTAAAAGGGACCTATGGGACAATGTTTTCATGCAGAGGGTGGTGCGTGTATGGAATGAACTATCACAGGAAGTGGTAGAGGCTGGAAGAATTACAATATTTAAAAGGCATCGAATGGGAATATGAATAGGAAGTGTTTAAAGGGATATGGGCCAAATGCAGGCAAATGGGACTGGACTAATTTAGGTTATCTGGTCAGCATGGACAAGTTGGACCAAAGGGTCTGTTTCCAAGCTATACACCTCTATGACTCTATGAGTGCAAAATAAATATAGTCAGACATTTTATCAAAGAATGTGTGCCTGGAGAAATACCATCATCAGAATGAATGTATTCGACAAGGTGAATGCATGGACCCAGGTGAAGGTAAGCAGCAGGATGAATACATGTATGTAGCGAGATGGATAAGCAACAGGATGAATGTATGGACTAGGGTGATAGCATGCACCAAAGTGAATGCATACATCAGGGCGCATACGTGCATCACATTGCAAGACTGTAAGGAGCATAGGGCTCTTGTGGTGCAACAGTAATGTCCCTATCTCTGGGTCAGAAGACCCTGGTTCAAGTCCCTCCTGCTCCACAGTTGTGTTGTAACCTGTCTGAACAGGTTGTTTAAAAACCATTTACAGCAAGGTGTTTGCACAGACAGGTGTATAGAATAAGGACATGAATTCATTCCTGTTATAATTTTGATTCAGAAGGGACTGCACTTAGTCTAGTAAATACATGCTCAATTAAAGCATGCTACTGAGGACTTTAGTTAAATTAAAAGGTGCAGAGTCATCAAAGTACGACAGAAGAGTAGGGAGGAACTTGATTTCACTGTAATACTGACATCTACTCGATAATCTAGAAAATTGCCCAGTAATGTCCTATCTGCAATAGTTGAGCCAATTGCAGCTATGAATGTTTGCTCTTGGTTATCAGCAAAGTGATGGAAGATGTCATTGGCAATGCTATAAAGCAACAGTTCCACAGCAATGACTGACACTCAGTTTGGGGTCTGCCAGGGCTACTCAGTCCATGACCTCATTACAGCTGTGGTCAAACCATAGACAAAAGAGCTGAGCTCACAAAATGACATGAGAGTTACTGCCTTTGATATTTGTCTGAATAGAGCAACAAGGACCCCTAGCAAAATTGAAATCAATGGAAACCTGGGTGTGAACTATCCACTGATGGAAATCATGGTGTCATCGTTGACTTCCCTTCTGTCAGACAGTCTAAAGTGGGGGCGCTTACCGAAGAATGTACTGTGTTCAGTACCACACATGACTCCACAGATGTTGAAGACATCCCTTTCACACACAGATCAACCAAGCAAATAGCCTGTCATAGTCATTCATACTCACAGAATCATACTTTGCTGACGATGACACAAATAGCACCATTACCATCCCTGCATATGTGCTGTCTCACCAGCAGAGTGCACCCAGCAGAGGTGGCAACGTGGTGGTAAAAAAACAGGAGGGAGTTGGCGGGTCCTCAGCATTGACTGCAGATCCCATGAAATTTCATGGCATCAGGTTTAGCATGGGCAAGAATTCATTGTGCTGATTACTAGCTACCAACCTCCTTGGCTGAAGGATCAGAGCAAACACAGAAGGTAGCAAGCA